AGTCTCCGTGGAGCACCACTCGCTGGCAGCGGGATGGCTCACCCGTATCCAGACCGTGTTTCGCAATGCCCTAGCCCTGTGCCAAGCAGCGCACCTGTCGAACCTCAAGGCCTTCGACAAGAAGATAGCCGATCTGTGTCTCACACAGCCAGATCCGACCCTAGGCCTTCGCACGCTAAATACCCAAGAGCTCCTGTCGGCCGATCGCAAGCTCTGGGCAGCCATATCCGACCTTCTGGGGCAGCAATGGTCCCTGGATGATGCCTTGTACGAACTGACGCACATGAGAAACGATGTGCGCAGCCTTCTACAATTGCGCCAAAAAATGTCCAAGCCATCCGTGCCAGCACCTCCACGACCCGCAACACCAAGGCAAAGGGCACCCAAGCGCGACCTTAAGCCAACCCGCATGCCTTCACGCCCCAGCAAGAAAGGCAAGGGCAAATCCAAAGGAGCATCGCCTTCGCCAAAGCCCAAGGCAGATTGGTGCACTACATATAAAGGTAGAGAGGTTTGCCGGCGCTACCAGACGGGCAGTTGCACTAATGACCACTGCCCTTTCGCCCACGTGTGTGCCATAGTAGGTTGCCAACAAAAGCATCCCGCCATGGATCGCAATAAACACACATGAAACAGCCCGGATCTTGGACCGGCGCAGGATCGGGCCTTGCCCCACGACGGGACTCATGAACCGCGTTCACCCTCGCAGGGGCCGGGCGAACGGCCCTGACGCCAGCCTTGCCTTCAGCGCACCGTAGCGAACCCAGCCCTAGGCCTACGCCACATGCGCCCGCCCAGGCAAGCTCATCGGACTCACAGTTGCATCCAGCCTCGAAGCGGCTCTTTTTGGACGTGTTTGCAGGCAGTGACGTCGGCCGCCATTAGCCTTGCCCTTGACTGCTTTGAGCCTTTTGACCTAGATGGTGATGCGGCGCACAACATCCTGGACGACAGCGTCTTCGAGGCACTCCTCAGACTCTGCTGGTCAGGAATCGTGGCCCTAATCATGCTTGAGTACTCCAGACTCAAACTTCGCCCGGGCGGGCCCAAAGCCTTGAGAACGCCGCAGCACATGGACGGGGTCCCCGGCCTTTCGCCTGCGCAGCGTAAAAAATTGCTGGATAGCAAAACCATCCACGACCGTGGTAGAGCCCTGTTCAGAGCAGTGGTCTCCAAAGGGGGCGTGGGCATTTGGGAGCAGCCACCATCAGCCATGTCCTTGTTGGAAGAGGCTAACTTCCAAATGCTACGCGATCACCAGTGTGCCCTTGTGTGGGTAGATGCCTGCATGCACGACAAAGCCTTTGCTAAGTCATGGGCATTCGGCAGCAACAGTTCGAAGGTACAGGCCCTGCAGGCCCGCTGCAATCACTCCCACAAGCATCAAAGCATTGCAGGAGTGAAGGAACAAGGGGTATACCTCAGCACACTAACTGCAGAATACCCCCCTTCCCTGGCCCTGCAATTGGCCCAAATAGGCGTAGGAAGGGTAAGTAAAACATCCGGCAAGCACTGCCGCTGCACTCTAACTCCCCTAGAACCGTCACTTTGGCGCCTTGCAGGATCCCCACCTGCGATGGAGCAGGAATGCACTCATCCGCAGATTGGTGTCTCCCCAAACCCAAACACGTTGCAGGCAGTCGCCAGGCCCTGGCTGCACTGGATGCATGAGCGCAAACTTGTGCCACGTATCCTGGCACGCGTCAAAAGCGGTTCTTCGGACTGCCCACTCTCGCCCTGGGAGCGGCAACTCTAGCGTACACCGCATGAAAAACTGCCCTGCCCTTCAGATATGAGCCCCGAGGCAGGGCAACCGACTCCACCTGCTGCATGCCCTGGCCAAATCTTGGGGTGACCCAGACATGGCCCTCCTGCCATTTTTGCAACACGGCGTGCCGACAGGAGCCGTATCAGCCTTGCCACCAAGCCTTCAATGGCCAGCAAAGAAGCCTTTGCCTTCGGCGAATACGACATTTAGCTTGCCCACGGCAATGCCTCAGGGCCATTTTTTCCGAGCGTCGGCTATGCTGAGGCTGGTTTCAACAATCCAGTTGTTGGCAATTTCATTGCGCAGCAAGCCTTGCACGGTTTCTGGCTCGTCTTCGGCCATCTTCCAGTTGCCTTCACAAATTTCCAGATCCGGCGGCGGCACGGAGTCCGCCTTGTCTTGGATAGCACCGTGTGCCAAGTCAATACCAGATGCCATTTGCCAGAGCGCCTTAGCTTGCCAATGGCATCTGATTTGGCGCTGTCCACGCAGCCAGAAGACACTCCAGGCGCCTTCATCGGAGCCAGCATTGACTTTAAAGCCGCGCACAAACAAGTGCAGGTCCGCCCGGAAGAGCATGGCCTTCTGCTCTTCGCCTTTCAAGGAAAGCTCTACCACTACAGGGTGTGCCATTTTGGGGGCCGTTTCTCGGCCTTCTGGTGGCAGCGCGCCGGCGCATTCTTGCTTCGTCAAGTGCATGGGTTGCTAGCCTGGAAGCCACACAAAGCCTTCCTCTTTGTGGACGACCTGCTCTGTGCACTCTTCCGGGATAGCGCGCCAGACATGTTTGCCTTTAGTGGTGCTCACGACACCATTCAGCTCATGTCCGCTAAGCTAGCCAAGCTGGACGCCTTGATCAAATCCCTGTTGGGAAATCGACGTGTGCCCCGCAAAACACTCGATGCTTATTTGGGCCACCAGCATTGCCCTACACCTCAGGTCCTGGCTAGCACCACTTTACGCTCACCTCAACAGCCCACCCTGCTCCATGCACTCAATACCCCTCAAATGTGTCAGCCTTTCGAGCATCCTTGACTAAGGACCTCAAAACTAGCCATAGCCTCCCGGGCTTGTGGATCACAGCGGGCTCCAAAATCTTGGAAATTTCAGGCCGCACCATGCATTGCCCTCAAGACTTTCCAAGTCAAGCCAACAGTGCCTTACTTGGCTGGCGTCGTGCTTTCGACACTCGCCCATCCAGCCTTTGGCGCGGCCACGCCCAAGCTCTGGCTTCCGCCGACGCGTGTGCCGCAGATGATGTGGTGGGGATTGGGGGCTGGGCAATCACATCCTTTCAAGTGGTGTGCTTCGCCGAGACCTGGAACATGCAAGACATAAGAGCCGTGTGGCCTTGCCTTGTCAAGCCAGGACAGCGGTACATCGCATGCTTTGAAACTCTTGCACAGTTAGCACTGCTGCAAGCAACCCACAGCCACATTGGTGGTGGGCACTACTCGTTTAGCATGCCTTCCGGCACAGATAATTCCGCCACGGAAGCAAGCCTTAACAAACTGTTCACGACCTCCTGGCCGTTGCAACTTTTTGTGCAATTAACAGCCTTCTGGGACAACGTGCTGCTGCAGCCGACGCACGTTCCAGGAAGGTGCAATGATTGGGCGGACGATCTCAGCAGAGGTCGGTTGGCCCGGTTCAGCCATCGCCCTGAAAGTCGCATACGCTTCAGCCCTGCAAGCCTAGCGATGTCAGGCCGAGGCATTCAACTGTGTCCGATACATGGGGTTTGGCGTCCGGAACATTTGGCAGCAGCCTCCGTCGTCGTAGCCTGCGTCCGACATGGCCCTCTGACCCAATATCCGCCGTTGCCCTCTCAGGTTCGCTTTTACCGGGGTTGCCTGAATCACTGAAGGGGGGGTGAATGTGCCTCCTGCTCCAGGCGCACTAGTGCCCTGGAAGCAGTGCAACTTTCAGCAATCCCGGTAAAAAGAACTGCGGCCGCTTTGGACGAGCTTTGTTCTTTTGAGGTTTCATGTTTGGGTTCAAGCTAGGAGCAGTGCGACATGCCTTAACGCTTAGGGTTTCTTTTCCCTTGTGTTTAGGGCATGTGGTGAATCGAACTATGCGTTGGCCGTTTTGCTCCTAGCCTTGACCCAAACCTGCGGTTTCATTTCTGAAGCCCACCCACCCGCCCTGCACTGCCCTATGCCAGGCTTTGCCAGGATGGTCAGCAGTTTCCCTGCACTTTCGTGGGTCGTCCGGGCACTGTGGTCTCCGGACCAGGTCTCCGGACCAATTTCGGTCTCCGGACCTCGAGTCTCCGGACTGTCGGTCTCCGGACCTTGGGGCGTGGGCACGCATGCCGCGCCCCCCAAGCACTGTTTTTACACGCAAGGACACGCGTTGTCTTGCCTTTTTCACATTTCGGGGGGTCAATGTGCCTCCTGCTCCAGGCGCACTAGTGCCCTGGAAGCAGTGCAACTTTCAGCAATCCCGGTAAAAAGAACTGCGGCCGCTTCGGACGAGCTTTGTTCTTTTGAGGTTTCATGTTTGGGTTCAAGCTAGGAGCAGTGCGACATGCCTTAACTCGAAGGTTTTCGGGTTTCAGGAGTCCCTTGTTGCCGCCCAGGACTTTGCTCGAGGAGTTCCTGGGCTGAAGGAGCATGAAGTCCCTCCTTTGGATGTTCTTGTTTCGTGCTGAGTGCCAGGACAGCATATTGGCCCAGTTCTCAGAGTTGCCCGCAGGCGCAAGCAGATTGCGCTTTGGCTCTTTCAGGCAAAACGGCGCCCGTTGCATGCCGGAGTCGCTCGGCGCGCCGGGGCTGCGCAAGAGGACTCCTCCGACCCGAAGCCTGTTCGCATCGTTTGCCGGTTGCCGCCAGGACAACAGTGGCCAGGCCTGGGGGACACGTGCATCGGGCTTGAACGTTGGGCTTGTTGGTTGTCAGGACCGGCGCGATCTCAAGGAGGCGGCGGACCTTCAGAGAAAGCGACGTCCCAGCTTGGCCTCGCTCAGGTGGTCGCAGAAGCCGACAGGGTGCTGGAGGACAACGGCACGGTGAAAGAGACCAAAGCCGTCTTGCGCCGCTGGAGCAGCGTGGGTCGGGGTTGCAAGAGCGGTGAAAGTGTTGAGCTCAGGAAAAGCGCAGAAGATATATCCAGGGAAGTGGACCCTTTCAGGGAAGAAAGACGAGTTGCAACAAAAACTGCGCGAGTTTGTGGAGGAGGCAGGACTGCGTGCTTTGTCTGAGATTCGCAAGCGGTTTTCGTGCGACGCAGGCCAAAGCAACCAAAAAGGGCTTGGAAGAGGCCGTCGGTTCGTGCGCACAGCTGGGGTGTGTGAGTCGAGTTGCTTAGGGTTTCTTTTTCCTTGTGTTTAGGGCATGTGGTGAATCGAACTATGCGTTGGCCGTTTTGGCTCAAGCCTTGACCCAAACCTGCGGTTTCATTTCGAAACAAACGCCGCCATGGACGCCTTGCTGTGTTTCGGAATGTGCCTCGCCGTTTACAGCCCTTGTGTCCGGCTTCACCTGCCTTGCCATCTGGTGGCTGCTACGCCAGTACAGCAAGGCCCTCTTTGGGTCCTTTGACTCCCAGCCTTCGTGCCGCCCTGATACTGTGTACATCCTGCCAAAACGCAAGGTTTTTCACCATCGGCAGTGCCACCACTTGGCACAGCGCGATGTCTTAGCCCTTGCTTTGCAACCATGCGATAACTGTCGCAGCCTGTGGTGACGCACATTGCCCCAGGCTCTGCCTTTTGTGACAGCCTTGCGTTCCTCACCATGTGCTGACGAGAAAAGTGACGCGACACGTGGCTGGATCTTGAGCTCAATACACTGCACTGTGCTTTATGTACTTGCGTGGCTACCTTGCCTGCAGCATTCTTTACCCCCTTTTTCTTTGCAAGTGTATCCGTACCCGCCTGCCTCTCGGCTACGGCCTTAGTTGTTGCCTTTCAGACAACCGTGACAGCTGCCATTACTCCTATATTTAGGCATTGTACAGCTTCTGCGGACCTTGCCAACACGGACTGACTGCAGTTAGGACCCAAGACTTGCGATCTTGAGTCCGCTCTGAACTGCATCCCCCGGGGGTCGTTGCCTTGCGCCGCAGCCCTTGGCAACCGAGGCTCCTCCGGGACCTCCACACTGGTGCACTGACTTCGTCAGGACCCCAGTCACGCATTCTTGAGTCCGCTCTTGAAATGCATCCCTCCGGGGTTGTTGCCTTGCGCCGCGAGCCCTTGGCAACCGAGGCTCCTCCGGGACCTCCAAACTGGTGCACTGACATCTGTCAGGACCCCAGTTCCGCATTCTTGAGTCCGCTCTTGAATTGCATCCCTCCGGGGTTGTTGCCTTGCGCCGCGAGAGGCTCCTCCGGGACCTCCATACAGGCGCATTGCCTTCAGTCATGACCTCAGTCATGCGTTCTTGAGTCCGCTCTTGAACCGCAGTCCTCCGGGGCTTGGCATTTGAGGCTCCTCCGGGACCTCCACAAGGCGCAACGCCTTCTGTCATGACCACAGTCATGTATTCTTGAGTCCGCTCTTGAATCGCGACCCTCCAAATTTGCTGCCTTGCGCCGCGAGCCCTTGGCAATTGAGGCTCCTCAGGAGTCCGCTCTTGAATCTTCGGGGTTGCTGCCTTGCGCCGCGAGCCCTTGGCAATTGAGGCTCCTCCGGGACCTCCACAAGGCGCAGTGCCTTCATTCATGACCGCAGTCACGCATTCTTGAGTCCGCTCTTGAACTGCATCCCTCCGGGGTGGTTGCCTTGCGCCGCGAGCCCTTGGCAACTGAGGATCCTCCGGGACCTCCAAACTGGTGCACTGACTTCTGTCAGGACCCCAGCCACGCATTCTTGAGTCCGCTCTTGAACTGCAACCCTCCTAGGTTGTTGCCTGGCGCTGGCAACTGAGGATCCTCCAGGACCTCCACAAAAGCCCTGCTTTCCAGGCCTAGATATTTGTGTACACCATGCATGGTGTTTGCATGCACTCTTGCATTTCCGCTAAAGTTTGTTTTACGTCGGTTGCAAGCATTCTTTCACCCTCCATTCCAACGCCTTGCCCTTGGTGCCATGGAGTGTGACGGCGACACTTTAGACGCCATCCACACCACATTAGCCAGAAGCTACTTAGACCTTGAAGTCATGCTCGACGAGTTCTACACAGTGCTTTTGCGCATTAAGCTTTTCTGCCACATCATTGCAGTTTGCCTTGTGGCCCTCACCCTGATCGAGGGCACTCGTGCATTGTCATGCATATTAGACTCTGTACAGCACGGGGCGGCCTTTGCGTACCATGCCCTTACATGATGGGGCACTACTCTGGCTAAAAGTACCACAGTGTGCCTGCTACACACTGCACTTGCACATCTGACTCGCATTGCGGTCAACACACCGACTCTTTGCCGCCAGGTCAGTCTGGCCCTGCTGAGTCACCTTCGTCGTTACCTAGACTTCATCATCTTGCGCATTGTCACGTGGGCTCTTTGCATATCGCCCGCCTTTTGACACTGTGTGCCTTTGCCATTGCATATGCCAATCAGAGCCAGACCTTCACCGTGGACAGCCTGGCTTCGTTTGCCTCCGCCTTTGACTGGCACAAGCCTACAGCATGTTTCTTGACTCAAACGACAAGCCTTTCAGCCAGGGGCCTCCTGACGGCCGCCTGTGACCCTGCTTTCAGGTGCTTTGCAATTCAGCATCGCTGGCACGAGCACTCCGAGTCAGCCTTAGTTTCACTTTTGCACGCATGTGTTGGCCCTAAGACAACCCGCCTCTTGAATGCGGTTTTGTCTTGCCTTGAAGACCTTGAATTCATCCTTGTGTGTGTGCAGCCCGCGGTACCCGCCTTGCCAGTTAGGGAGACGCACTCTCATGAAACTGTGGACCTCACGTCATGCTCGCAGCTTTAAAAGTGTGTGGCCCGCGATCTGCTTGACACCCGCTTTAATAAGCCCTGTCGCTCAACGCGCTCAGGCATTCACGGCCGTGGCCTCATTTCACCGCCGTGATACAACCATGCCTTCATCTTAGTACCTTTCTGCATTCAACGGATGACAGGCCCACGCCGGCGCTCCAGCAGCCTTGTCATCACGTGCCCTAAGCATTTTTGCCGTGTGCACTTCCGTTTTGCAGCATCAGACTTGTGCCTTGCAGCCATTTCAGCAGTGTGCAACGCGCCCACTCCTGCTCGGCACCTTTCACTCGCCTTGAGCATGTCGGACCAAGTGCCTTCCTCAGACCTCATGGGCATTGTCTCCAGCATGACGGAAGAGAACCAGGCAGCCCTGACCGCCATGCTTGCAGCCTTGAGGGAACGCACGGCCTCGCAATCCTCGTCGCCTTTGCCGGAGGCCGCCCTTCCCACGGATGAGTCCTCAACATTGCCGCCCGAAGGGGCGTCTACTCAAGACCTGCCTGAGCCTTGCACGGAAGAGCCGCCCTTGGTGCCGCTCCTCGACCCTGCCAGGGCAGAGAACTTCTTGTATCAGCCCTGCGATAAAGACGAAAAGCCTTGGGCCGACCAGCTCGCACCGGAGCTGCCCCCGCAAGACTCTACGCCGGCACCAGCGCCTTCCCAAAGCCTCGCCCTTCGCCGCCCAGTACGCAATGGCCTGACGCTCCAGGTTTGCCGGACGATGCCTTGCCGGCTAAGCCTGAGGTGATCCTCAAGGCGGCTCCCAAGCCCAGGCCTTTGCCTTCGGAGCCGCAGAGGCCTCCGCCCGGGCCCCCACCCAAAGCAGCCTCGAACCCGCCTTGCGACTGCCCCCTCAGCCTTCCTCCGGGTTCCACGAACCCAAACCTTCAGCACTTGGGCCTTGCACCAGACACGCCTTTGTACGCATGGGACGGCAGCTGGTGGATGAACTTCTATGACTTGCCTTTCGGTTGCCCTCCCACGTGCGCCACGCGCATTGACGAAGACCATCACGCCTTCAGCATTGACTCCTGCTGGAAACGCAATGAGCGGCAGTTTTATCGTAAGCCCGCGCAGCCCTGGCCAAAGCCCTCGCAGCCGCAGGAGAACACGCGCGCCACCTAATAGATCCATCGAGTCTAAAAATAGCCGCGGAAGAAATTAGACTCGCGCGGCTAAATTTACTCCCGGAGCCATGGGAGTAAATTAGCCCCGTTGGGGAGTAAATTTAGTCGCGGCCACCGAGACTAAAAAAATGTACAAAACGCAAACTGCAATATAAACATGTCAAACTGCAATATAGCGATTGCAAACTGCAATATGGCGATTGCAAACTGCAATGTTCATGTTTTTGCAAAAATTTCCGCATTGCAATGTCAAGCGCAGTTTTGCTAAAAAACGTTGTCTTCTCTCATGGAAAGATAGGGCAGGTTTGCATCACGGCGAGTCTGAAGCTGTCAAGTTTCTGAAAAAGGATCTATGTTTTGGGGCCCCTGCCTGGCTTGAGCTGACACGACATCTTCAGCAATAGTTGGCCGACGGTCGCAGTTATATGTCCTTGTTTGAGATTTTGTCAAATTGACATTTTGCATGCCATCAACAACGCGGCCGCAGAAGATGTTTTGATTGGTTTGTGTGCGTGCATGTGCAACTGTTTTTTGGTGCTGTGGCGTGTTCCGGATATGAATTTGTGCTTGAGAGGTGCTGGAGGGCGAGCGAGCTTGTGCTTGAGAAATGTGAGCTTGTGCTTGAGAGATGCTTGAACTTGTGAACTGCTTCAAGGGAATAACCTGCACACGTGGCCCTCAACAATTAATTGTTTTGGGAGCAAAAATAATGGTCTCTCAGGTGTGTGACTCTCATGCACATGTGACTCTCACGCAAACTCTCAAGCAGTTTCGGCGCAGACATACCTTGCTTGCAGTTGTTCTAGCGATGGCGCAGTTAGCTGCGCTGGTGGAAGCAGATTTGGCTAAGATCAATGCCAAGGACAAAGTGGATAAGCAACGGCCTCGCTTGGTTGCTGACCCGTCCATTGGGGTTGGGGATTTAGTTTCGGCAGTGAGAAACTTCTGCATGTTCAAAGGGACTTCAGACCTTGCCTCGATTGTGTCCCCGAACAATGGCAGAACTTTGGCATGGAAGTCAAGACCCGATGCTGAGTTCATGGTGAAACTTGCTGGCTTGTGTTATGATCTGGCAGTCCTTGCTCCTAACAGCAAGCTCCCGTCCAAGAAGCTTCGTCAAGCTCTAGCGCAGCTGCTCTCGCAAGGCGACATCCGGAACATGACGCAGAAAGAAAACAACTCCTTCCTGGATTTGGGGGACTTGACCATTAGGATTGCTATGGCTCAATTCAGAACGTGCAAACAAGACCTTCAACAG